GATCTTGAATTTCAAAGTCTGATCCTTGGGTTTCCCAAAAGTGATACTCTTTTCATAGCTGCTCACGGCTATTTATAAGTGATCAGCGCGTAACTGATGTTGAAGTCATGGGATCGAGAGCGTAATTGACTCATTGATTTTAGCCAACGTGACCTGACTGGGTCTCCATGGTCGTTAGCCTTCTGGTGTCGAGCTTCACTTGATGAGACGAGTCTCGCTGCATGGCGAGGTTCGTCTGACAAGACANCTCACTACGTCGTGAGGTTCGTCTGATGAGACGAGCCTCGCTACGTGGCGAGCTTTGTCTTCTGGGGCGAGTCTCGCTACGTGGCGAGACTCGTTCCTGAATGAACTTCGTCTTTTGAGGGATGAGGCATTGTGAGCCTCGTCTAGCTGAGACGACCCTCATTGACTGAGACGATATACGTCATTGTGACGAACCTCGTCCTGCTTGTAGCGAGCTTCAACATCCTTTTACACTTTTTTTGCTTTCAAAATTAAGTTTTTATTTTCTTTAGACTTGCGTGTGGCGAGACAATCTTCTCCCACCCAACTTCTAAATATTTCCTCCTGGATTTTATTCCTATTATTTTTTATAACCCAAATCGGTTACCAAATACATGTAAAGTTGAAGTAGGATTTCTTGAAAACAAAAAGAAACACTATCATATTTTTCATTGATCTGTTAGGAATAATGATATCTATACCATATTTTTCTATGCTATTCTCACATTACAATAGATAAAAATATTGAAACGAGCTTTACATTTCAATTTCTACCCAAACCACCTTTAAAATAGGATTTTTTAAGCAATCAAGCACCTTCAAGTCAAATTTTCACTAAAAGGAACCTAAAAATAAGGAAAAGAAAAAATTAAGTTCAAGGTACGTGAGTTGTATCCTAACAGGACATATACATATACATATACACAAATAAAAAGAGCAACATGCTTTGAACATGAGTTTTTTAGAGATAATTTTGAGTTTTTTGTGAAAAGTTTGACAAATCATACTCCTTTTAAAAGTACGAGTTCGGGAAAATCTTTCCATGGTCAATTTTACCCTTAACTTTTTAAATATTACATTGTTATCTTAATCTATTCTAATTATCATATCTTCTTTGAATTAGTAACTAAATAATTTATCATATGTTATTGGATAAAGAAAATACGTTTAATATAATTCAAATCATTTACTTATTTCAATTGGCAGAGAAATCTAAAAACATATGCTAGCCAGCACCTAAAATTTTTTAGACTTTGTAAAAAAAATCCTCCAAGTTTTTTAAATTGCAAAAACTCTCCTACAAATTTAAAATTTTATTAAAACATATTGAAAATTACAAATTTTACTTATTTCAATTCAGTGAGAAATCTAAAAAATATATGCTAACTAGAAACTAAAAGTTTTTTTGACTTTGGAGAAAATATCTTGTAAGTTTTAAAAATTACAAAAACACCCCTAAAAATTTAAAGTTTATAAAAAAAACACCATGAAAAATTTAAACCTATAAATAACATAAACAACCCCCAAAAATTTATGGAATTTGTAATAAACACACAGAACATTTTATAAATTACAAAATAAAATCCTCAGAATTACAAAATTTATAAAATCATGATAATTTCTAACCTAATAGTACATTAAAAATATAAAAATTATAAATATTTCCTACATAATTTATAATTTATAATTTATAGAAAACACCCTTGAAATTTTAAAAATTATAAACAGAACCTTAAAATTCAAAATTTACAAATAACACCCTGAGTAGTTCAAACTCATTAGTAAATTGAAAGCATAGGAATTATAAATAGTCTATAAATAATTTACAATCTATAGAAAATGCTTATAAGTTTAAAAAATTACAAAAAAACCCCTAAAATTTATAATTTATAAAATAACACCATGAGAATTTCTAACCTATAGACACTAAAATAAATATAAAAAGTTACAAATAACCCCTAGAAAATTAAAATTTTATAAAAATATCATACTCACTTTAAAAGTATAGGTTTAGAAAAAACCTTTCATGGTCAATATTACCTATAAATTTTTTGAAAAGAACATAATGATTGAAAATCTATTAAATTTGAAATTTATAAAAAACACCCTTAAAATTTAGCACATTGCAAATTACCCCCCCCCAAGTTTTAAATTTGTTAATGATTTTTTGTAATTCTTTGATTTTAATGTAATGTTTAATAGTTTTATGTATTTGTAAATTATAAAATTTTAGGGTGTTTTTTAAAAAATTTAAAAATTTTGAGAGTGTTTTTTTGTAATACATAGATACATCAATTAATGATTATATTAAAGAGTAAGTCGTTTTTAAGATTATTAGGCCATAGTTAAGTGTACAACACATCACTGTTTCTAAGCAGTATAATTTATATATGTAAAAATTTTCAGACAATCTATATAGTGGTTAAAAAGATTTTGACTCTAATATACTATTTTTTATAAATTATATTTAATATAAATCCACCATATAATTTTGACTGTAGTCATCATAATTATAATACGTTTGATTAATTAACTATATAGGACATAGACCTTAGATTGCTTTACTTCCGCATATGAACTATTATTTGGCGCTTAATAATTTAAATTATTACTTTTAAATTTAATACAATTTCAATTCCTATTTTTTGCTTAAGATTTGTTCCATAGTTACGCGTATCAAATTAGTAACTAAAATAATAATTATTATGCTTAAATTAGGATAAATGTAGTTGGTCACTCACTATAGAATTTTCATAAAGATATATACATTGCTTTGTATAGCTATTTGCACCACCCATGTATATTTTATAAATTAGTTGTTAATTTTACATATTAATTTATTTATTTTTTTGTAGAAATTTTTTCTTTAACTTCTGGATTGTGTAATCACAACATCATCATTCTAGCGTAGAAAGGACCTTACCTTAAATGACTTCACGCCAATATTTGAGTTGAACTGAAGTATATACTATTGCTACTATGTTTATATATTTTTTAAAAAAATCATGTCAACACTTTTTAAACGGAAGAGAATATTCTAACATTTGATATTATAAAAACTAAATATGACCAATTGAGTGACTAGCAAAAGAGAACTTACATAAATAAAGTGGAATAATAAGATAAAGAGGAGAGGTAATGATATTGTCAACAGTACTACAGATAACAAACTATAATGTAAACTTAACCTATTTTGTGGAGCCCAACTATTGACTATAAGCATTAAGGTTTTCATATATATACTTTATAATTTATTAAAAATGTTCATATAATCTTATATAATAAAATTGATTTAATACTAAATAGTAATATCGTTGTAATAATATCGTTATTAACGGAAGAGAATATTCTAACATTTGATATTATAAAAACTAAATATGACCAATTGAGTGACTAGCAAAAGAGAACTTACATAAATAAAGTGGAATAATAAGATAAAGAGGAGAGGTAATGATATTGTCAACAGTACTACAGATAACAAACTATAATGTAAACTTAACCTATTTTGTGGAGCCCAACTATTGACTATAAGCATTAAGGTTTTCATATATATACTTTATAATTTATTAAAAATGTTCATATAATCTTATATAATAAAATTGATTTAATACTAAATAGTAATATCGTTGTAATAATATCGTTATTAGGGGAAATTCTTCATGAACCAATTTGTTCTTTACGACATATTAGCTATGCACTCCAAATTCTTGTTTCTTTTATAGAGTCAAAAAGTTTGAATACGAGCCTCTAACATGTTGCTCTCATAACAGCAAAATTCACTTAGCAGATGTGGATATTCCAGATGAGTTATACGTTCTATATATAATACAATTGCCCTAGACAAGTGAGTTATAATAGCATTTTTCATTCACATCGTTTAGGGTAAGATTTGATAGGGACCTTGCATCAAAGATTTTTTTTTTATATTTAGAGCACATGGCGAAATATATCATAATCTCCCTACTCTAATTTTACAAGAAAATAATTCTTCATACTTTCAATTTTACTTCTATAATACAGAGAATGAACTATAAAATTGAATAAGAATATTAGATAATATAAATATGAGAGAAATAATAATTAAAGGTTAATGTGAATATGAGTCAAACCACAACTAAAAGTTTAAGTGACATATGCAAGTAAATTCATATAAAAAAATTCCTTTACGAATTGAATGATCACTCATCTTTTCAAGACTTCAAGATACTAATAAACAGAGATGTTATACTAGATTAATGTGTTTATAACTCATAAATAGTAGGTCACGTGGCCACAGTCTGGGTTGAAGGAAACAATAATGATATTTCAGTTGAGAGAGAGATTATTGAGTTGATGGTCAATCATACAAAAAACTTTGTTTTCTTTTTATTTTTATTCTATTTTTATTAATTTAAATTTAAATAATCATGATATTTAACCATGTGCATTGCACGTGCATCTCAACTAGTACACAAATAAAAAGAGCAACATGCTTTGAACATGAGTTTTTTAGAGATAATTTTGAGTTTTTAGTGAAAAGTTTGACAAAGAGATGGTTGATTACAACAAAACATTACTTTAAAGATGTTTTGTGTATATATTGAAATTTAAATATGGTTTCAGTATCATTATCCTATTTGAAGGTGGTTTCTAGAATAAAACCCAAAAAGTTAAAATAAAAGCACGCAAAGGTAGATGATCTCATATCAAATTCTAGTGGAGAGATAAGGACGAATCTGTGCTCCACGAGAAAATCCACCACCGTCCCTTTCTCGGCATCCCCCGAATCTTAAATGACACGTGTACTGTATCACCGCGCAGAATCGTATGCGCCACCTCTCTTTAAATGTCAGACAGATCTCAGCCGTTCCTTTCCTCTTCCGGCAAATCGAATCATAGCCGTCTATTCAGCTCGAATCGACGATCGATCTCGCAAGCCCGGACCCGAAATATTAATTAAATTCGATTTCGAAAGCCCGCTATAAATAGTGGGAAAAAGGAGAATAATATGTAAAAATCGCTTCGGCCTATCAGATATATATATTCCCCCCCCCCAAGTATAATATAATTGTTTTCTTCGTCTTTGAGAAGTTATTTCGTCTAAACCCTAGGTTTAGATTTTCGAGGGTTAGCGTTTTTGATTGGGATAATGTCGGGAGCAGGGGCGGAGGAAGACAAGAAGCCGGCCGATCAAGGGGCCCACATCAATCTGAAGGTTAAGGGTCAGGTATAGCTCTCAATTCTTCTTTCATCTGTTGACAATGTGATGTGCTTTGGTTGTAATTGTTTGCCAGTTTCTTTAGATTTTTATGCAATAATTGATATTGATCATAGGATATTTGGACTTTAATTTGTAATTCTGTACGTTATAGATTTATAGATGCAGGATTCTAAAGAGATACTTAGACTTTTCCCCATGTTGATTGATATCTGTTTGGTGCTTAGTGTTTAATGCAGTAGGACTAGTCATGTGTCAATAGAGTTGCAATTAAACCATATTTTGATCATTGGTTGCTTGGTTGTTCGGTGTGTTCTTTTATCCGAGTTCAGATTCAAGGCCAAACTATCAAAATTTTAATGTGAAACAGAGAGTTCTATGATTAATGATCATTTAGGTATGAACCACGCTTTTACATTGATGGTGCAATTATTTAAATTTCCGTTTAAGAATCCGATGCTCCACTTCTCAAATCATTGTAAATAGGCTCCGGTCCTTTTTTGAAATACATTGGCCAATCTGTTTCGATGAATTTTGTGCAAGTTTTACGCCCTAAATCTTATTTTATTATAGTTTTAGTGACTTTCACAAATCTGGATTTCCTTAAACCCTTCTTTAGTAATGTAATTACCATTGCATTACGTTCTTTTGTAGTTGGTGGTTGCTCATATTTAGAAGCACTTATGGAAAATGGTTATTTTTAATATAAATTTGCTTTTTTTGGATGTCAACGTAGAGTTTGCATGGAATATATTATATTTTTTTCCCTTATACCAGTTTGGAATATTGTGCGTGCATGTGTGTGAATTAATTCGGTTATGGACTGTAGTTTCAGCAATTACCCACTGAAGTTCGGTGTCATTAGTGTTAATTACTTTCCTCCTTGAAATTATTGTTTTGAGAGTGCACCGTCTTTTCTCAACGAATGGCTAGAAAATACCCTAATATGATTCAGAGGGCTTTTGGGTTAATTTTTGGTTGAACTAGCCATTAAGTTAGTTTTTTTATCTGACTGATTGGTAAATCCCCAATAAGCTAGCTTATAAGTCCCATTGAAAAAAGTTAGGATTTCCCCAACTTTTGAAAAACTAACTTATAAGCTGATATAACATTGTTATTATAAATGCCAGAAGGTAGCATAACTTGTAAGCTTCTTAAAATAACCCTCCTTAAACACTGTATCACTTTTAAATACCTGGATTATCATTTCCCCATGCTTTAGCCTACTACTACAAGTGCATGTAGATTCTATAATTCAAAACTTGCTTTACACAAGATTTAGCTGGGTAGAATAACCCGCTACTTCATCCTTGAGCATTCTAAAACACGTGGAAATAAATGCTGTGGTGTTTTTACTCCTTTGGGTGAACTTTTGAATCCTTGTGCATGCCCGTTACAATCTTTTTCCTGCAAACCTGCGCTATCATCTGTTTTCCGCCCATTGTTATGTCTGCGCTCTATTGGCGGATCTCAAACATTTATCAAAAATGATGTTGAGATTCCTATTTAAAAAGTGAAGAGCACTACAGCTTTTCTTACCATAGAATTCTAGAAACCATAGTTTTTCTAAGGTTAAAATTTGCAGCCTGATCCTAGAGTAGGGAATGTCTGGAGCAGGGCCATCAGAGGTAAAGAGGCCAGTTGATCAACCACCTTCGCTATGTCTTAAGGTTAAGGCACAGGTTAATTTTTTAAATTTCCCTTTCTATTAGACTGTTTTTCTGTCTTGGGATAGATAGTCCTTGCATCATTCTCTTTATGCTTTTGTGGGTTTTCTGATATTTTGAGATTAAGTTTGAGCATGTGTTAGTTCATCTTCTTAAAATTTTTTAATTATATTTAATTACATCAAAATAGAGGTTAAAATTTGAAATCCATTCTGATAAATGTAGTGCCATTTATTGTAACTTTTATTCATCTGTGAGGACCTTCTTGTAATTAAACTAGAGAAGAGAAACAACTTTCAAACAAGTATGAGGTAAGAGGAGATTTTTTAAGGGATGTTCAAGCATGACTTGGATGGGGTCAACAGACCTATGGACCAGGATAAAGTCCTCAAGTGTTGTTAATATTATAGTTCATGAGTGATATGCGAACATGTTTTGAAGTCAAATAACTATTAGTTTAAGCTTCTAATTCTAGTTGATGTACTTTTATTATATTTTTCCAATTCTAGTTCCTTTCAATGTGATTCATTAGGTAAAATCAGTAATCTAATCCGCTACACTCCGGTTAGATCCAATTCCAACTCTTGTTTTAAGCTAGTGCTCCTATGTGTAGGAAGAAGTTGTCCATGATGTTAGCATTTCAGAATCTTTCACAACCTAATCTCCTACTTATGTCATTTAAGATCAAATAAAAATTATTAGGATGATACAAATAGTTTGTTACCACTTTTGTGATATTTGACCAATTGTCAGAAATATTTTTACGCAGAATTATACTGTAGATTGTAGATAGGCTTGTAGATCATATACGCAGAATATATTAGATTTTTTTCCCTATACCAATTTGGAATATTGTGCATGCGTGTGTGTGAACTAATTTGTTTATGGCTAGTAGTTTCAGCAGTTACCCACTGAAGTCAGGTGTCATTTAGTGTTAATTGCTTTCCTTGAAATTATTGTTTTGAGAGTGCAGTCTTTTTTCAACAAATGACTAGAAAATACCCTAATATGTTTCAGAGGGCTTTTGAGTTAATTTTTGGTTGAACTAGCTATTAAATTAGTTTTTTTTTTAAATCTGACTGATTGGTAAATCCCCAATAAGCTAGCTTATAAGTCCCATTGAAGAAAAAGTTAGGACTTCCAAAATCTAACTTATGAGCTCATATAATATCTGAGGTTTGACCACGTAAATAACTGTTCTACCCATATACCTTTTATAACATTGTTAATATAAATGCCAGAAGCTAGCATAACTTATAAGCTTCTAAAAATAACCCTTCTGAACACCGTCTCGCTATTAAGTCCCTGGATAATCATTTCCCCACGCTTTAGCTTTCTACTACTTCAAGTGCATGCTATAATTCAAAACTTGCTTTACACAAGGTTTAGCTAGCTAGAATAACCTGCTACTTCATCCTTGAGCATTCTAAAACACGTACTTTCAAATCCTTGTGCATGTCCTTTACAATCTTTTTCCTGCAAACTCATCTATCATATAACTATTAGTTTAAGCTTCTAATTATAATTGATGTATTTTTTTGTTATGTTTTCCAATTCTAATTCCTTGCAATGTGATTCATTAGGTGAAGTCAATAATCTAATCTGCTACACTCCAGTTACCCAACTCTTGTTTTAAGCTAGTGCTCCTATGCATAGGAAGAAGTCGTCCATGATGTTAGCATTTCAGAATCTTTCACAACCTAATTGCTTACTATGTCTATTAAGCTCAGATAATAATTATTAGTATGATAAAAATGGTTTGTTACCACTTTTCTGATATTTGACCAATTGTCAGAAATATTTTTACGCAGAATTCTACTGTAGATTGTAGATCAGTTTATACTAGATGATTATGAAGATTAGTTGACTGTTGAACCATCATTTTTTCAATGGTAGAAGCGAATGAAATGAGGAAAAAATATTTAATTATTTGGCTTCAGCTTTCCCTTTATGTTTGCATCCTTAGATAGAACAACAAAAACATTTTTATTTTAATTAACCTTTATTCAATATTTAAGGTCACTGTTTTAGTTCCCATCTTTTTACAGTATGAAATTTTGTGCGTTATTGTGCAAATGACAGGCATTTGGTTGGCAGTGTTTACTGAAGTTTTAGTGACAGTTGGAAGCTTTTTTTCTTTCGACTTTGAGAATATTAGTTCCCTTGGTCCAGTTTAGTTATGTAAACTGGGAAATATGAGTATACAGCTTTTGTGATGACTATTTTTGAAGTTTGGCCAAGTCTGGTTATGGGGCAACTTTTCTGGACTGTGGACAGGTCTTTCATTTTCATAGAACAATTGGAGAAAGTATACAAAAAAACTTAAAAGAGCTATTTCTGCCAAAGTGGTGGATATCAGAAGTAGGACAAGGTAAAATCTATATGATGCCTATAAGGGTTACAATTACTGCTGGGTTTATCATATCATGACATAATTTGCTTTGTGTTTGGTTAAGATTCATTACTTTGGTATTACACAGTCTTTTCTTTGTAGGATGTCGATGGAACTTTTGTTTTGTTTCCTATATGACACCTATTCTTTTAACTTCTTGTTTTGATTTATTGTTCTAGTGAGTAATTGTTTCGGTTTATTTATGGCTTGTATTTCAACCCGTATTCGTCTGTAGATACTGAGTTGTGGCATTAACGTTTGTAAATCTATATTGAAATATTTAATGAATATGAGTGTAACACCTTTGGAACATATTCAAGTTTTACTATTCATATAACATGTAGTCTATAGAGGGTTTGTCACACTTAAAAATCACCTGTGACATGGGTGGTCATGGGCTAAATTTGGGATGGAAACATCTCTGTCTCTGTCTTGCTCTCATGTTAATGTTTCTTCATTAGGGTGTCCGTTTGGCTTCATCTGTTGAACATGCAATGTAACATTAGGTTCTCTTTAAGATAATGTGCGTTACTTGTTTATCATTGCAGTGGTTGATGTGCAGAGCATGTCAATCGCTTGATTAAAAGATGCATGTCAAGTTTTTTATGCTTGTCTTATTTTATATGACCAAATTTCCATATAACTAGATTTTTATCTGCCCATATCTTTTTTCTTGGTTAACATTATTAAGGGACACCGATTGTTTTCTCAATCTGGAATCGTATCGACTGGCTCAACTCACTTAATAAAGGATAGAATTGTTATATTTTGCCAGAGTATTTGTCATGGTGCATTAAGCAAAAGCTTTTATAACTTGCTAATTTTGTTGGCAGTTTTGTCTATTGAACAAGTTTTTGTGCAATCAAGATCGACAGACACATTGTATCACACATTGTATCAAGGGACAGTATTGACCTATTGAAATCCTACTACAATTGTTGGACGTGGAGGTTTTTGTTTAAGTGATGTTCAGTTCAATCTGTTCTTTATCTATAATTTTACTTTTAGAGATCATTATTTACATGTGATATCATGCATAGTGACTGAACATGTCATTGAATATTATGTTATTTTACAGGATGGGAATGAGGTTTTTTTCCGCATCAAACGTAGTACACAGCTGCGGAAGCTCATGAATGCCTACTGTGACAGGCAGTCTGTTGATTTCAACTCCATTGCCTTCCTTTTTGATGGTCGCAGGCTGCGAGGAGAGCAGACCCCTGATGAAGTAATATTTGTTCAAAGGCTTATAAAATTTCTCAACCATGTTTTACCTTTTTGCACATCACTTGTCTCCAAGTAAAATCGTAATAATGTTCGTTCTCATTTTTGTTTGTTACAGCTTGAAATGGAGGATGGGGATGAGATTGATGCTATGCTGCACCAAACAGGTGGTGGTCTGGTATATTAAGGCGTCAGGGGAGCAGCTGTATAAATTTCTTAGTGGTAACATCTGAGGGCCTGTGTAAAGCTTGGATGGTAGTTAATGTGGGGACATGAAAAAGACATGTATTTTTGTTTTATGATGTAGTCCTGAGTCGCGTGATCCTTTTATTAGTATATTGTTCAAATTGTTCTCCCGTGGTGGTGGTGGTGGTGGTTGTCTTTGTTGAGGTAGGAAATGAGTTGATACCTAAAAAGTTGGGCTTGATGTTCGATTTTTGTTCTGATGTCAAATCTGATGCTTGATGTGCTTGATGATAGAGCGAAAATGCTGCGAAGGTAGCTTATGCTAAATCAGCAGTCTTGAAACTATGTAATCTGATTTTTGTTAATTTTTCCTTGGCATCGGTAGCTGCTGCAGAAGAATTCTCATGTTTTGCTTTGTTTGATTCACAAAACTTCTCTCTTTGGAAAGTTGTTTCCAATTTGTAAATGCGCTCAAGGATTACATAAACTGTAGAAAATTATAATTGCTGAATAATGGTATAGCCTTTTTCATTATTGTTAGGAGATATTTATAAGATTACAAGAGAATCAATTAGTTACATAAAATCTAAAACTACCTAATTAGTTACATAATTGTTGGAACTAAAAGGAGTAAAAGATATTAACAGAATATCATATACAATAGAAAAGAATCACAGGGCGTGCCAATTGACATTGTAGGGCGTGTCGATTAAGATCGCCTTTTGTCGACTTGCTTCGTGTCGATTGTCACTGTAGGGCGTGTCGACTAAGACCGTCTTTCGTGTCAACTGGCTTCGTGTTGACTGACACCGCAGGGCATGTCGACTAGGACCGCCTTTCGTGTCGACACAAGGGGTGTCGTCTCGTTCGGTCGGGCTTCGTGTCGACTGGCTTCGTGTCGACTGACACCGCAGGGCGTGGGGGTGTCGTCTCGTTCGGTCGGGCTTCGTGTCGACTGGCTTCGTGTCGACTGACACCGCAGGGCGTGTCGACTAGGAATGCCTTTCGTGTCGACACAAGGGATACCATCTCGTTCGGTTGGGCTTCGTGTCGATTGGCTTCGAGTCGACTAGCACCGTCTTTCGAGTCTACACAGGGGGTGTCTCGTCTAGTCGGTCACAATTCCTTAATATAACGCGTGCGGGGTAGTGATTTGGTGAGTGCATCAGCTAGTTGGTCAGTGGAATAGACACGAGTGACTCGTAAGATGCCTTCTTGAACTTGTTCTCGAATGAAGTGAAAGTCAAGAGCCACATGTTTCATTCGAGAATGGAAGACCGGATTGGAGTAGAGATTTGTTGCGCCCACATTATCACAGTAGATTACCGGCTGTTGTGATGATGTGAACCCAAGTTCGCCGAGAAGAGATATGATCCATCTCAACTCGGCAGTCGTCGAAGCGACCGATCGGTACTCGGCTTTAGTCGAGGAGCGAGCCACTGCTTGTTGTTTCTTCGAACTCCAGGATATCGGGTTTCGACCAAGATATACAATGTAGGCACTGGTGGATGTGAAGTCGTCTTTGTTACCTGCCCAGTCGGCATCTGAGTAGGCATGGAGAGCGAGAGGTGATTGACGATGTAACATGATGCCATAATCAATGATGCCGCATAGATATCTGAGAATCCGCTTGGTGGCGTTCTAATGGTTCGTAGTCGGACGATGCATGTATTGTGAAAGTTTGTTAACTGCATAGATAATGTCTGGACGAGTGAGGGAGAGATAACGAAGACTCCCAACTATAGCTCGGAACTCAGTTGGGTCAGTAAGGATTGTATCCGACTAAAGTGTAAGGACGGACGAGGTGGCAAGTGGAGTTGCGAGAAACAACTTCAACTCCAAGGAAATATTCAAGTGGTCCAAGGTCTTTGAGAGAGAAGCGACGTGCGAGGACCGAGATGAAGTCCTGAACTGATGCTGCATTGTTGCCTGTGATCATGATGTCGTCAATGTATACAAGTAACATGATAGTTATGCCATTGTCATGGAGAATGAACAAGGAGGTGTCGGCAACTGAGTTCGAGAAGCGAGATGCAAGAAGGAACCGTCGAAGCTCATTGTACCAGGCTCGAGGAGCTTGTTTGAGACCGTATATCGTCTTTCGTAATCTACAGACGCGATGTGGGTTGTCGTCATCAACAAAACCTTGAGGCTGAGCCATGAAGACATCTTCCGTGAGAGTGCCTTGTAGAAAGGCATTGTTGACATCGAGTTGACGAAGAGCCTAACCTCGGCTGACGGCAAGCGAGAGGACGAGACGAACGGTGGTCGGCTTTACAGCCGGACTAAACGTCTCATGGTAGTCCACTCCTGGTCTTTGGTGAAACCCCTTTGCCACTAAGCGAGCTTTGTACCTGTCTATAGAGCCATCAGGTAAGCGCTTAAGTCGAAAAATCCATTTACAACCCATAATTTTTTGCACACCATTGGGAGGTACCAATTCCCAGGTGCCATTACGAACTAAGGCATCAAACTCCTCAGACATCGCCTGTCGCCATCTGTGATCTTTGATAGCCTGAGTTACACATGTGGGTTCAATATCTGTGGCGAGTTGAGCAGAGAGGCTAAGTTTGTTGATAGGTTTGTGAATGTTGTTTCGGGAATGGGTGATGATAGGCGAGGTGCGGGTTGAAGGTGGTGGTAATGGGTTGTCTGAGGCTTGGACAGGTGGGAGTAAGGCCAGGGGAATGGCTGGCAAGTTGTTAGGTGCTGGTTTAGGTATTGGGGTGGGAAGTTGTGGAGGCAAGGTGTTTGTGGGGTTAGGTGAAGTGCGAGGTGGGTTGGGAAGAGGGAGAGGGAGGGCAAGAGGCAAGGTCTAGTGTTCTACCATATCTGTTTGTGTGTTGGAGTTGACAGACAGGGAGTCTCTGGAACAATCTTCGGATGATGTGTATGAAGCCGGGAGAATGACACGATGTGAGAGCCAGGTGTCGTATGTCGACTCATCGGGGCGAGCGAGATGCGGATTGAATTTAGACATGGGAAACTCAGACTCAACAAATCGAACATGACGGGAGATGAAAGTCTTTTGAGTTTGTTGATCAAGACATATATAAGCACTCTGTGTAAGGGAGTAGCTAATGAAGACACAAGGCATGGAGCAACTGGCAAGTTTGTGAGGCGAGTATGGACGAAGCCAAGGATAACATAGGTAGCCAAAAGTTTGAAGTTTGGAGTAGTTTGGTGACGACTTAAAGAGTTTATGAAAGGGAGATGTCATATGAAGAGTGGGTGTAAGAGATGATTTATGAGGTAGGCTGCAGTGGAGAAGGCATATGCCAGAAGGAGAGTGGTAAGGAGGCTTTAGAGAGAAGGGAAAGACCTGTTTTAACAATATGACGATGTCTACATTTCGAAAAACCATTATGTTTTGGAGTGTGAGATGGCGAGGTGAGATGCGAGATGCTATTTGTGGATAGATATGTTGCCAGTCCAGTGGATTTGGAGAGACCCATGTACTCCCACCCATTATCTGAGAAGAAAGTTACTATTTTCATTTTGAAGTAATTTTCAACAAGGGATTTGAAACGAGGAAAAATAGTGACGACATCAGATTTACGTTTGAGAGGGTAAAGCCATATGTAGTGAGTGAAGTGATCTACGAAAATGACATAGTATTTGTAACCGTCGACAGAATAAATAGGCGAAGTCCACACATCAGAATAAATAGTTTACAGAGAAGAAGTATACACAATTGATGATTGAGAGAAAGGTAATTTATGACTTTTATTGCAAAGACAATCATTACAATGAGATTGCTTTGAATTAGATGAATCTAAAGCTAGACCGAATTTGGAGATTATATGACGTTGGATTGACTCAGATGGGTGACCAAGACGATGATGCCAGTCACTAGAAGACACTTTGACACTGGAGTGGGTCGAAGGACGTGATGTGAGTTGCGAGGTCGGCCATTCATACATACCATCTTTAGGTTGTCCTTCTAGCAGTGTTGCCCCTGACAGTAGATCCTTCACACGAAAGGAAGATGGTAAGAACTCAATGAACGTATTATTTGATTTGCAAAATTGAGGTATGGAAATAAGATATCTTTTCATGTTAGGAACAAATAAAACATCATGTAATTTAAATGTATGGGAGGATTCTTTAAGAGAAGAGGAGCCAATTTTGAAAATGTGTAACCCAGTACCATCACTGATAATGATGTCGTCAGACCCATCGTATGGAGCATGAAGGGAGAGATTGACGAGATCGATTATGACATGGTGAGATTCCCCACTGTCGAGAAGCCATGTAGAAGTTTTGGCATCTGATCCTATGGCAACATGCGCCTTTGGTTGCCACTGAGATCCAGTGTGCGAGGTGTGAGTGACGCCTTGCGAGGAGGTGGGTACCAGCTAAAAGAGAGGACACTGAACGACGGTGTGGCCTTGTTGTCGGCATCCTTGACACTTGCTGAGATACAGCCTCTGCTGGCGAGATGTGGCTTGCGGAAACTAAGACGGTTGTTGTCTTGGAGCGGAGTGTGAAGATTGCGCATTGTTGGACGAGGAGTGGTGTGAACCATTGTACCTGGTCGACGCAGCGTTAGCCATGGTGGGGTGCGAGATTGATACTGATTGTGATTGCTGAAGCACGAGTTCCCTATTGATGAGTTTCTCATGAAGCTCTTCAAACGAGATGGGACTGTCCCTACCTATATCAGCGATTTGGCTATAGTCATCATCGAGACCTTCTACGATTTTCTCAATGATGTCCTCATGGTCCATTGGTTTGCCGAGTGCAGCAAGGCGATCGGTTCGGCACTTGACATATTGCATATAATCCAAAACGGATTGTGAGACCTTCGTGGCTCGCTTGATCTGGTCCTTGATTTGCTTGATGTGACCACGTGTCGGGCGAGCATAGGTGTTGGCGAGAGTCTGCCCTGATTCACGGGAGGTGATCGCCTGTTGGATTAGAGGGATGAGAGAGGGGGAGATGGAACCGACAAGGGCGCCAAACAACAGTTTGTCTTGTCGAATCAAATGCACAAAATCTGGGTTGGGAGCTTCAACGTTGAGGTGGTGATGGTGCGAGGAGGATTTGGATGAAATCCATCTATGTATTTGTAGAGGTCGTAGCCGATGAAAATGGCCTCAATCTGGAGTTCCAAACAATATAATTTGTGGAGGTCAATTTATGGATGGATTGATGGGAAGTGTTGATGAGTTGAAGGTTTTTGGTTGGATTTTCTGGGTTGGGGATGACAGTGATTTGAGAATCAGTCAACATGGTGAAGACTGCGGATAGGGTTTGTAAAGGAGGGGTGGGAGGAGGTCTAGA